GTCATAGGGCACCTTCTGACCCTCCAGCATGTGACCCGCAACTCTCTGTGATCCTCCAGGCCCGGCTTGCTGAGGAGGGGAAGGATCAGCCCTGATGCCTCTCCTGTCCCCCCCCCCATGGCCCCAGCCATTGCTGCCCACCTTCCTCAAAGGTGCAGCACATTTCAAAGGCGGCAGCTCATGTCTGGAGGTGCTGAATAGTGGGACAGCTGTGAAAGCTGTGCCAGGCTCTCCACTGACTGGCTTGCCAATGGGGGCACTTCTGTTGGCACAGCTGCCCCCCTTCTCCTGGGCTTTTGTGCTCGGCATTAGGCCGGGGAAGGGTAGCGCTTAGCACATCACCATTCTCTCTCATCTTTCTTTGCTGGTGGCAATAGCAGATTCCACAATGAAGGCGGAATCTTGTTGCTGCACAAAGGCTAGTACAGGGGCGCTTCTCTCCCACACTAAGGCTCCGCCCATCGCCACATGACAGGGTGACAGTTCTTTCATCCCTCTGCCGCGACAGAGCCACAGGAAGCTGCAGCAGAGGGGTGAAAGAAGAACATGCTGCTCCGTAGCCGTGGGTTGCCAAAACCCGTGCTAGACTGAGGCAACATAAAATTGTAATCAAATAATGAAACTAAAGCAGCAAAGTTCTTACGCAAACTTCCTAAATAAACCTTCTTAAACATAAATCCATCTTTTGTGACATTAAGGCCTTTCTTACCATAGAATTATTAGAAATATTGGAAAGACTAAAATGCTTATTGGTTTAACTTTTACTATTGGATTGCCTTTGTACATTTGAAAAACATTACAATGATTGTTTTTATATATTTTTTATCATGCCTTTATTACTTTTATAAATAACACAAGATGTCAAATGTACCTAATACTCCTTCATTCTTGTGTCATAGCCTTTTGAAGAGAGTTGGCTAAGAGATTGTGACTGCCTCAAAGTCATCTGCCAGCTTTTTTGCCTAAGGTAGAACTAAAACTCCCAGTTTCCCAGTTTCTAGCCTAGCGTCTTAACCAGGGTGAAATCTAAAATTTGTTACTATCGGTTCTGTGGGCGTGGCTTGGTGGGGGGGGTAATGTGACTGGGTGGGCATGGCCAACTTTTTTTTTACCTTTAAAAGCATTTTTTCTACAACCTTAAGAGGTTGCAGAAAAAAATACCTTTAGAAGCCTCTGACGATCAAGCAAGTCAGCTGGGATCGCCAGAGGCTTTTAAAGGCATTTTTTTTCCTCGGCTGAAGAGGTTGCAGAAAAAAATGCTTTTCGAAGCTTCTGACGATCCCAGCTGAGCCGCGCGATCATCAGAGGCTTTTTTTAAAAACTTTTAAAAGCATTTTTTCGGCCAAAGAGGTTGTAGAAAAAATGCTTTTAAAAGTAAAATAAACAGCCTCTGATGATCGCGCAGCTCAGCTGGGCATTGCGGGGGGCGCAGGGATTTTTGCTACCAGTTCTCCGAACCACCTGCCGCCATCGCTACCAGATCGGGCGATCCGGTCCGAACCAGGAGGGTTTCACTCCTGGTCTTAACCACTAGACCAAATTGCTTAGACCAGTGGTTCTCAACCTTTTCTTCACCATGTATCCCCTTTAAAATATGTTTTGTGGCCATGGACCACCAAGACTTAAGATTTAAACCATAACATTTCTTCAAGCCTTTGCAGACCCCCCTGTGACAATATTGTGCTCTCCCCAACGGTCTGTGGATAACAGGTCAAGAACCACTGGCCTAGACTATTTCCAAAGAGCCCTATAAAAAGCTAAAATACTGGTTATTGCAAATTAATTGCAAATGTTTGGGGAGGCTATTGTACATCTTCTGAATAAACATGTATTTGATTTATTAAATTATTTGACTTATTTTTAACATTATACTTTCTTGTCTTATTTTTTAAAAAAATTGGTGAATTTTATCTTTTAAGAAAGTCGGTTAGATTAAGCTATAATATAATATTAACAATTAAATACTACACAAATTCAGATGGCCAAATTCTGCTCTGTAAGTTAAAATTAAGGCTAGATCTCTCTGCCTTGTAGTTCTTAAAATGCAAGTCTCTCTCGAGAGGGAGGAGGAGATATTTGCTTGTAAATCCACACTTTTAAGAGCTAAGTACTAAACCCTCTGCCTAGCAGACAAATCTTTCACTAAATAGTACTCAGACGTGTTTGAACATTCTCTTAATAGGAACAGTCCCCTGAGTGAATGCAATAAATGTAAATTCCCTAGAAAGAGGATTTGCTGTTCAACAACCCACTCATCTGAACTTGTTAGGTGGGATTCTTTAACAGAACTAGTCTGTTACAGAAAATGCATATTTTATACAAGACTTGATGTGAAATAGTCTCTGGCTCCATACTGTTTTTCATGACAGAAGGTATAATATGAATTATTAAGAATAAACAAACACGTGTAGGCTGATTATATAGATGATCACAGTGATTCTCAATCTCCAGGTAATTTCCTGCTTGGATTACTGACTCCTATTATTCTCTGAGGAATGTATAAATACACAGAACCTTAGGCTACTGGATTTTACTTCCTTTTGTTATACTATTCATTCATGCAATATGTATCTATTTTTCCCAGACTTGATTGCTTTTATGGAAAAGTTATGGATCTTTCAATGTGAAATTAAGTAGAAAGATATAAGAAAAGGTTTATTGGATTAATTTTTAGAAGATACTACAAAACATTTGCAAGGAAATTTACTGGGTACTGACCATGTAATTCTTTGCCTTGCCATGTCTCTTTTCTATTCTTTATTTGATTTTTCTTTATAGGTCAGTTTTGGCTTGTTGGTATTCTGTAAGCCTTCATGGTGAATTAGCTTCACCATGAATCTTCTTCACTGTCTTCAGATATTCTTCCAATGGCCTTTTCTTCTCCAATCATCTGCTGTACTTGCAATATTTCATGCTTCTTGCATGAAAATAGTCTTATCAGTCACTACATGGATGAAGGACATGATTCATTTTCCTTATTTTTGTAATCTTTCTATTCAGGTCTTTTAGTTCTATTTTAGTCCAATCCACTATTCCAGCTGTGCATCTAATACTGAAATTGCCCAGTTGTTGGTATTTCTTCCACCGAGTTTGGCCTTTAAGACCTTCTTCACTCTTATGATGTATTCACTTCTTTCTTTCTTCTTGACTTTAACTGTACTTGATGTTGTCAGCTTAAAGAATGCCTAGGTATCTGTAGGTACTGTCTTCATCCAGCATAGTTTAGCTGGCTGGAGAATTCTGGGAGTTGAAGTCCACAAGTCTTAAAGCTGCCAAGTTTGAAGACCTCTGATCTAGACCCTCAATGTTCTCTCCATAGGGCACTTTTCACTATTTTTCCTCTGGTCATGAGGATTCAAACTCTGTTGCAATATTTTGGGTGCATATGAGGGCAGTATTGAGCAGCGATTCTATTTCAGATGTGTTTTTCCATACAGCATCAGATCATGCATGTAAAGGAGGTGGGATAGCCTTGCAGATGTTTTTTATGTTTGATAGCCATGGCCTGACTTGTTTAGTATTGTTGGCAGAGAAATCAGTGCAATGACAAACAGTGAATTTCTTAGAAAAATTCCACTCCTGTTATTCCACTCATCCAGTCTATCACTATTGACCAGCAACCATGTCCTCCACTGTGCTATTGATCTTTGCACAAAGCTGATGTTTCTACTAATTCCTGTTACTTCTAGGCACTTGATTATCCAATCATGTAACAGGGAGTTAAATGTGTTCTTGCAATGAATCCAAGTACATTCAAATTAGTTTTCTTTCTCTTGCAATTTTCACATATCTTTTCAATTAGGAACTGATCTTTTGTTCCTCTATTAATATTATCCTGATTGTACATGCTGAAGCAACATCTCAGCTACCTATAAGTTTCCTTTTATTTTACTTAGGATTCCATGTTGTAAATTAACCATCAAAGATATCCATTTTTCTTGGATAAAAATACCCCAAGGAATTACAGAACAGAATTGGAAGGAACCTTGGAGGTCTTCTAGTCCAACCCCCTACAGGAAACCCTATACCATTTCAAACAAACCCATTTAGTATTTGGTTTAAAAATTCAAAGGTCAATGTATCCATGGATAGCTTACACATGAGTATATATAGTTCGACACTTTGCTGTTTGCTTTCTAGATATTCAGATGTTATATTATTCTTTGTTCAGAACATATTCAGTGCCCAATTTATTTTAAAAATTATCAAACTCCAACATATTTGAAAGAACTGAGCTTTAAAATCGCATCTTTATAATAAAATCAATTTAGATTAAACTTTATAATAGCAACCTTGATATGCTCATGAAAGTTGAGTATCAAATAAAAATATTTTTATGGATATCCAAGTTTAGAACAAAATGTCATATATCCCTAATGTTCATATGAAAACTAATGTTCCCTCACACTTTCGTATTTGGTTAAAACTAATAAGCAAACATTTCAGGAAAAAAATAGTTCCATAAATGTTTGTATAAACAATAACTTCTGTTGAGCTAAAAATACAGTGAATTTTTCTGGTAACTAGGCAACAAGAAAAAAGTCACTTACCTGAATTGCAGTTTGTTTTATGTTATTTCTAAATCCTAACTATACAGATTTTTATTCTCTGTTCTTTAAAGATGACACAAAGAGTGCCTGTTTATTGTTTAGCTAAATTGCTTAATGTATTATTCGATACAGAAAGCAAATAAGATAATCTCTCCTTTATCTGTAATCAGTCATTAGCTTTTTATCCCTTATCTTTTTATAAATGTTTGAATATAATATAGCAAATGGCATACTTAGGTAACTTGCATAAGTATCAGAATGTAGAAGGCATGAAATCAGCATTTTTCTTTTATGCCAAGCAATTCAAATATTGGTCCTATCTTATTTATCTTCATAGAATATATACTTTATTTTTATGTGCTGCTTATTTTACACTTAACTTAAAGACAAGGTCGATTTTTCTGCCTTCTCTATATATAATTTGATATGAAAATGGAACAACTAAAGGAAAATGATTAGATACCTGATATATTCAATTGACTTCTAATGTTTTCATCTCATTCCCATCCATTTCTTTTCTTTCCCTCACCTACTTTTGAAATATTCCCAGCAAATAATTCAGAAGACAGATGTGAATCTTGATTTGAAAAGTGGGACATGTTTCATCTTCTAGAGAAATTTCAAACTTTTTCAGGCAGTAGGACTTACTAGCTGTAAAAAAAAAAAAAGCAAAATTCTGAAATCTCTGATCAAAGCTCAAATTGTAGAAAATTGGTTCATTTAAAGGGGTTGGGGTTGTATCTCTTTTTCAGGGAATGCCACAAAACCTCAAAGATTCCTCAAGGCACAGTTTGAATAACCCCAATCTAATATATGTTGTCAATAGTTATATAAATATTTCAGAGTTGACTGGTGATAATCTTATGCTTGCTGTTAAGACCACTCAATACTGTAAAAGTTACAATATTAATTCAAAGTAATGAGTCTGTCAATCCTCACTAAATTGGAGGATTTTCAACATGCCCCTAGAACTTGCCGTGTGGAACTGCTCTTAAAGAAATAGTAATGGCGGTAATTTTATTAGACACTTAGAATTGGAGTGAAAATTACTTTCATAGTTTAGCAGGGTTTGTTTATTGGATTTATTTAGCTACCTATCTGACTTACAGGTAATTCTGAATGGTGTTCTTACTTGAAATCATGAATCTTTTTTGAAAAATTCTCCAATATACATAAGATCACAGAGTTGGAAGGCATAATTTCGGTAAGATCAATCTCCTGCTCCGTGCAGAAATCCAAATTATAGGACCTCAGACATATGGCTATCTAGGCTCTGCTTAAATAAATCCAGTGATCAACTGTATCCACTGTCAAACTGTTCTTGTTTTCTAAGTTTAAATTAGAATCTATCCTTTTATAACATGTGTTCCCTAAAAAAAAAAAAAAAAAATCTCTTAAAATGTTCATTTGGGAATCCAACATCATTTGGCTGCAAATCATGCCATCCAGACTCACCTTATAGGGGAGATGAGCAGCATAAAAAATTAATAAATAAAAATAAATATCCAACCAGTTCTAATATATTGCTTCTGAGGGGTCCTTGATGCTCTCTGAGTTTGGTTGTTTTCTTGCAGATGTTTCATTACTCAAACTGGGAAACTTCTTCAGTGTTAGTGAGAAATGGGGTTATTTTATGTTCTAGTGGCTTGCTCTGTCAGTGTTGGTGGGACTTGTCTTGGTAATTCTTTGGTTGGCCTGTTTGGCCGTATTGGGGTATTGTTTGCTTCTTGATTATTGTGTCTAATGTTAATGTTGGTGGTAATATCTGCTCATCTGGGTGTTGATTGTTCGTGAGGACATATTTGGGTCTTTTTGTTCTCTTCTTGGCTAGTTAATATTTGATTGTTTCTTTTGTGCAATATGTTGTTTATGCCTATGTTTCTTTAGATGACCAATTTGTCAGACTGCCAGGCTTCCAAGAATTTTCTAGGGTTGCCATGGTCTAGAATGGTCACAATATCCAAGTTGAAACTATGGTTAAGTGTGTTCATGTGTTGTGAAATTAAGTAGTCATGTCTTTTGACTACTAATTGGTTTCATGGATGTGCTCTGCTAGTTTTCTGCCTGTTTGTCCTATCTAATTGCAGTGTGATTCTTACACTGTATGTTGTAGATGACTCCTATTTTTTTTCCCCCTACAGCTGCTGTGTCTTTTGGTTTACTTAGAATGTTTTGGAGGGCTTTAATTGGTGTGTGTGGTATGCTGATGCCATGTGTTTGCAATAGTCTATTGGTGGTTTCTGAAATGTTTTTGATGTATGGCAGTGTTATCCTTTTCACAGCTTGTGTTGGTCAGGCACTTTTTGATGAAATTGTGTGGATATCCATTGTGTTGGAATTTATTGTATAGATGATTTCTTTCCTCTTTTGGATGTTCAGGGTTTTATTTATTTTTATTTTATTTTATTCATTTGTCAAGATAACAGATATAAGTATAAACAGATATAAGTATATTAGATAACAGATATAAGTATAAACATGATTATGAATACATGAAATGAATATGAATAAAAGGGGACAGTAGGCATGTTGGTGCGCTTACGCATGCCCCTTACAGGCCTCTTAGGAATGGGGTGAGGCCAACAGTAGACAGTCGAAGGTTAAAGTTTTGGGGGTTTGGAGAAAAAAACCCACAGAATCAGGTAGTCCATTCCACTACCATTTAGGTTGCTGAATTGTGTTTGTGCTTGTCTAAATAGTGTTCTTATATAGCTTCTCTTGTGGGATGGTGGGTTGTTATTTTGCTAGTGCAGTTCTTGGTTGGGGTGGGTGACTTTTTGGTAAACTTGTGTTTTTAGTTTGCTATTGCAGTCTCTGCTGATAAGGCTCTTCAAGAAGGTTAATGTGTTGTTTTCTGCTTCCCTTGATAGCACTACAATGACTAACACTGTTTAATCGCACATTTATTTAATTAATTCATTTGTTTGACTTTTTACCTACTTCAGTCCATGCTCAGTGCTTCCTTCTGGGTGTCCACAAAGATTGGTTGGGAACAAAAAAGTCAAGGCTACAAAAAAGTCAAGGATACGATGGAAGCCATGTCCTTTGTTCACATGGCTCATACCATGTGAAAAAAGAGGCAGGACTACTACCTCAATACCACCTCAACTTTTTGAACCCCTTCCAGAAGTCATCCCTGGTTCCTTTTGTGGAACTTCTTGATTTATGTAGTTAGAGTATTTGCTTAAGTCTAACTAGCCATTAGTTGAACAGTGTGTGTGTGTGTGTGTGTGTGTGTGTGTGTGTGTGTGTGTATCCATAATTATAGATGTAGTTAATGGATTCTGTTTAATAAATATTAATCATTTTAATCATTTCTATTTAGCAATCTCTAGAAAAGTACAGTATTAAACTTACTAATATTTACACTATATTACAATTTTAGCCTTATTCTCAAACTTTCTTTTTAGATACTTCCATACTATATATTTGGGCATTCGGAGTAGACAGAGTGGAGAGAATGACAGGTGGCGTTTTTATTGGAAAATGGTCTATGAGTATGCAGATGTGAGTATGCTGCATTTGCTTGCTACATTTCTGGAAAGTGCCCCACAATTGGTCCTCCAACTCTGCATTGTTGTACAGACGCGCACCCTTCAGGCCCTTCAAGGTAAGGATTTCCCTATTCCTTTTTTCTAGGTTTATATCTATGTATATAAGAACCTGGGTTAGATTCACAGTTTAATTTCACGGGCAATAACATTGCTTCATCAGATTGCAATCAAATTAAAGATCTTTAGAGTACTTTTCAGAGATAAAGTTACATCAGATTTCTACAAGACTGGACATAATATATATGAGTTTAACATATTTACATATCTAATTATCTTCTGTACAAAGTCTAAAACATAAATGAGCCATATATAGTTCATACGCCATCTGCAACCCCATAAAATTCTTGGAAGAGCAAAGTTGGCATGGCAAGTTTCTCTTCCTCCCCACCTCTTTCTCCGTCTCTCTCTCTCCCTCCCTCCCTCCCTCCTTTTATCTCTATAGATATAGAGACATAGATAAATAGAGTTCTGAAAATAGAGTTCACATAACAATCCCTGCTAACACCATTACTCAAACAACTGCTTTATTCTATTATAAGTATTCTAAATTAATTAAATATTTCAAACCCCAAGCCCTGGCTTTCCAAGGAGGCAGGTATTTAAAATATGTATTCATTTTTATATTAAATTAATCCATAGCTAATCTACTTCCTTATCTCCTCAAAATACAAACAACTAAGATCTAGGATAATGGCACAAACTGTCAAGTTGGAATTTGTACAGAGACATCATAGCCATGCAGTAACAATGAACATCAAGCAAATAGCAGTAATACAGAAACTTTGTAATTCAGCCATGTATATGTATCAACTGATTTTATTCAATTTGATAAGAGCAAGGACTGATAATAAATTTTAGGAAAAATCAGGTTTTTGATATTATTTTCCCTTCCAAGTTACTCTATGAATGATAATTTTTCTTTAGAAAAGTAAGCCAACTGTTCACAGAGGCTCCATTTGCATTTTTATGTACATAATACACAGGAACATTCTAATACATGTGCATAAGTTTAAAGAAGACATTCCACCCACCTCCCATTTGCATAGAATAGTGTTTGAAATCAGGCTTGACATTTGAAATATTCTGATTTTAAGAACTGTATCTTGAGAGGGTGGCCTTTGATTAGAATAAGTAGACAGTTTTGCATGTTTGCATGTCTGTTTGTGTATAAGTTCGTATTCTATTGCTAGATCTTGCCTTTAATGATTAATCTTGTAATGTCAATGATTTTTCTCTATATATAATACTTCACATGCACATTAAAAAGCATAAATAAATGGAGTACTGTTTTTTAAATCATATGTTCTGCTGTTGGATCAATTAAGAAATAGAAATTCATTCTAGCATTTTAGAATGCTTTAGCAGACATCATTATAATGAAAAAATGTTTTTGTAGTCATGATACTTCTATCAAAATTCAGTTCCTTTGCTTTAATGCTCTATATTATTATGTACCTTGTTACCTTTAAAATCTGTGTTGTCTTTTTACAGATGGATATACCGGTAATTAAATATATGCTCGGGCCGCAAAATATACCTTTGTAAAATAAAAGACTGATATTTGAGATAATATACTATTTTTAAGACCAAATTACTTTTAAATATTAATCTCTTCTTTTGTTATTCTGGCATACTAGGTTGGAACACTTTCATTTTTTCTAAATAACAGAATTTATGCAATGGTGCTCAGGACACTATTTGTCTATTTACTACCAGAATGGTTCTCTGAAAACAAGATGGGACCAAATTTGGTGTGATTAGAGAAGAAAACAAAGTTTGAAAAATGGCTAGATCAGTCTAAGGGCTGGAGAAAAAAATAGTCCGGAAAAAAAATTCCCCGGTGCATCTCTATGGAAGAATAGTTGGAAAGTTGTCCAGAAAGTTGCTCACTGTTCCATTCCAAGCGCCCTCACTTCAAACCACATGATCCAGACTAGGAGCTCAGCATTTGCAGCCTACCCTGCACTTTCCTGTGCATGCGTACACCCAAACACATTCAGTTGCTCCAAGAGGGCAAATGAATCCATTTTGGATTCAGTTGGTCCAAAATCTAAAGATTTTATATCCATGCATCAGCTGGTTATACTCTCATAGACA